GTTTCCTGGAGTTTTAGCCCAGCACCAAAACCACTAGACTGTGCTGGGTCTCTTATTCAAGATTCTAATCTAAAAGATATGTTTCTATACTAACACAAGTTAGATATCATGGGCTAGTTCACTCTGACTGATGTCCAACATTATTCAGAATGTGTGAAGTGGCTACTGACCAACTGCTGTGCTATTGAAGAGGCATGGTTCTGTGGTAGAGCTCATACAGAGACCCACCAAATTCAATCCCTGGGTGATCCAAATAAAAGGCTTGCAAGTAGGAGAACATCTGTCAGATGTCATGGTAAGCTGCTGCAAACTAAACACATTCTTTGCTGTCAACCAGAGCTCAGTTTCATGCAACATCTTTCCAGGTTTTAAATGGCCTCTCATCACTCTTCAGAAATAAGAGCAGAAAAAGCTAGAAGACCGATGGGATACCCTTTGGGCCATGGCTGACCTGGGGCTGGAGGTTCTCCCTTGTAGAGATGATCCAGTGGTCTAATTTAGAATGAGGCACCTTCACATGATAGTATGAATCTGTGTTTTTTAGGTTGTCACTGATTATAGCCTCATGTATACAGTTCCTTCATATTGGAAGCATTGTTTCCTCAAATTATTTTGGCTGAGATTTGCCAGTCTGCCAAAATCAGGTCATGAACACGCTCAACAATTTCAGGAGTTGACATTGTTAAAGGCCTCACAGACCTTGTTTCATCTTTGGTATCAAAATCTCTAAACTGAAAGTTAGCACACCACTTTTTCACAGCTGAGTATGATAGGCACTTGTCACTCATTTTTTGCATCATACACTCATGGATTTCCTTTGGAGTTTTCTTCTGGAGGAACAGGAACCTCACAGTAGCCTGGGATTTGACATTTGAAAATTCCACACTTTTTATGGAAATAGTTCTATCAATAACATTAAAAACAACAACAACAACTACTACCAACCAGAAATAAGAGATATGATCCTGCAAATTGAGTTTACAATACAAAAGAACACTCTTTCAAGGTACAGTGAAAAAATGATGCTCAGATTTTGGAAGTGAGTCAGGCTGAGAACTTTTCAGCACCCCCTCGTAACAATTCATAGATATGTGTCTTCCCTATAAGGACTTCCTGACTGTGAGTTGAGAGACAGACACACTTGGTGCCAAGTCAGGAATTGAAATTTCACTTGGATTAGCACAGTAATTTGTCCAAGGATTTATCCATGGCTTATATGATATTTGTATAATATCCCATATTTCCATGGTTTATAGGTTATTTGGTGAACTTCATCACAACCTTTTGTTCCATATGCAAGAATCAGAATGTAAGAATCATAATGTTTTACCAGAACAGAACTTGCAACTCATTAAAAATAAGAAGTTAGTTGTGAATTCTTTTTCTCAGTAACTAAAGCATAGTGGCATTGCATTACAGCTGTAACGTATCAAGGATAGACTTAATTCCTTAGGTGGTGAAACACGAATGCTTTAATTGCTTTATAGTCAATGGTTGTATGGCTTCTCCCCATGGTGGAGACAGAATATGACATGATTCAAGCACTGGTTCTTAGGCCATGTTACATGTGTCTTGTGTAGCTGCCATATGCTATGTTATGGGTGTTCAGGTGATGGTGAAGTTGACAGAAGGAGAATGTTTTATATCAGTGCAAAGCTAGTTGTTTGCAGCATTGAGCTTTTTTTTTTTTTTAAAACCAAATCAAACCCCCACTATTTTGTATACTTTTAAAAAATCATAATTACAGTGGTAACTAACCCTGGGGTATGGGGGGAGGATGACACATCAGCATTACAACTGTAATTATAAGTATACCTGTCTTAATGAAGTAGGTATATTCTTGGGCTTTACTTTAACAGAAACTTTGGTAAAAGAGGCAGAAATAACGTGGAAAGAAAAGGGATAGATTCCTACACTACAAAAAAAGAGCAGTTCTACCTATTTCAGTAATCTTGTTATTCAAAATTAACTGTATGCACATATGCAATGAAACAACCAGGTCAAGGAAACCTTGCATGAGTAAATGAAAACATTTTGTAAACAAAAACATTTCCAAGATCACTTGAAAACTTCTGCCAAAATGCATTCAGGGATGATATTTTTCTTTCCCCCAGCCTCCACTTTTCTTATGATTTCCATTTTGATGGCCAAACTTAAAAAAACATGTTGGGAATAGCTGGCGAGGCTAATCTTCTTTCCACTTTTCTTCTTCTAGAGATCTTCTGTTTTGTTTTTCGTACATGCTCAATAAGTGATTCTGAAAGCAGTTGTTTGCCTTCCTTGTTGCACATAAGCAAACACAACTACAATAGGAGTAGAATCCCACTGTTTTCCATGTCAAATCTTATTGCATTGTTTATTGTAGACTCACTACTGCAACCCAACACTGAAACTTCCTCTAGCCCTCCTGCACCATCCTCCCAATGCCAATGTTGCAAAAACAATTGCTCCCTCAACCCCAACAACCCTCCAGCTAGACAGAAAACAAAAAAAGGAGGAAGCTGAGACTTTGTAAAAATGAGATGATTTGTCAGAGGCTTTTTAAACTGAGGTATGCTTGTAATTACTTTTTAAAAATAACATTCCAAGGTACACAACTTTCTAAGCTTGGCAGTATGTACAGGGGAAGCTATCATACAGGTTGACCTTCCCTTATGCAGAATTCCAAATTCCAAAATATTCCAAAATCATCCACATGGGTGGCTGAGATGATGACATCTTTGCTTTCTGATGGTTCAATGGTAAACAAACTTTGTTTCATGCACATTATTAAAATATTGTGTATAAAATTATCTTCAGGCTATGTTATAAGATGTATACAAAACATAAATGGAATTCATGTTTAAACTGGAGTTCCATCTCCAAGATATCTCAATATGTATATGCAAAGATTCCAAAATCTAAAAAATTGAAATCCAAAGTACTTTTGGTCCCAAGCATTTCCAGTAAGGGAAACTCAGACTGTACACATGTGTGTTATCTGTGCCTGTTTACATGTTTTCATTTCTTGTCTATGATCTTTCACGTTGCAAGAACAGCCTCTCAACTGGGCACAGATTCTAATCTCAAAACCGTTACTTATAAACCATGTAGAAGCAGTCTGTTGATGGATGTGGTTCAGAGTGACTAAATAGGGTGAGTGATGTGCCTTGGAGAGTGTGGATGAATGATGGAAAAGAATATTTAGTGATTCTAAAATCTGTACATAACAAATCAAAGAGTAAAGTGTTCAACTCTTCTTCATAAGCAGATTCTTTCATACAAAATAGGTTTTCTGCCTTTTACCTGTAACCAAGCAACAATAAGCTTGGTAGGATACCACAGACAAAAGTCCTTTACTGTGATTCTTGTATTGTTATAATAGAGATTTCAAAGGATCTACATGCCACATATTATTGTCACTCTACTTTAACTCCCTGTAGTCTAAAGCTAAAAGTACCGACTGTATAAAATTCCACCACTGGTTGTTGTTTTTGTTAGAACTGCCATGAAATTCTGAAGGTCAACTCTCTGTTCCTTCATTTCAAAGTGTCATATATTATGTTCTTTGGTTTTTTTCCCCTGCCTTTTTATGGCTTCACTTTTGCCCTTTTCCTCTGGAATCTGTGGACTTCTTTGTATCCTTTGTGAGGGCCCATCCATTCTGCACTTTCCCAAAAGACAATCTAATTGTCAGAGATTCTGGGAGCTGAAGTCCAAAACACCTGGAAAACCAACCCAAGTTCTATTGTTAGTCCCAACTAGATCAGACCTATTGAACCAGTGGCTGTTGTTGTGTGCCTTCAAGTTGTTTCTGACTTATGGTGACCCTAAAGCTTTCTCGGCTAGATTTGTTCAAAGGAGGTTTGCCATTGCCTTCCCCTGTGGCTGAGAGGGTGTGAGTTGCCCAAAGTCACCCAGTGGGTTTCATGGCCAAGCTGGGAATTGAACCCTGGTCTTGAATCAGTAGGACCCACATATATGTTGACTCACCATTTGTGCTAGAAGCCTCTAGCTTGAATGGTGCCTCTAGCTTGAAACTGATTGAGTGGGTCTACTCTGCTTTGGACTTATTAATAGGATTTATGGGGGTTGTAAACTGCCAGAAATAGTGCAAATTGAGTCCACTGTTAGGGTTAGGGTTAGGGTTAGGGAATCATGGGAACTGTATTTTATTGTGGCACCAGAAGTATCTGACAGAGAAGGCTCAATGTCTCAGAAAAAAAATCCCATGATTCCCTAGCACTAACCCTAACCCTAAAAGTGGACTCATTTTGCACTATTTCTGGCAGCCTGCAACCCCCCTTAGACTGTTTTATGATTTTCATACTGCACAATTTAAACATTTTCTGGGTGGATGAGTGGAGTGAATTGCCTGAGAACTTTTCATTGTTAAATGATACAAGATTTGATGCAAATAAATATATTAAATAACTAAAATGTCTTTTAATCTGCTTGAACTTAAAATGTAGTTTATGGCTGTGTGGGTTTTTTTGGGGGGTAGGAATAGGCAGTGTTTCAGTGGCAAATTTTGAGGGTCAGACATTCATTACACAGCCTCAAGGAAGGGACACTTTATCTCAAACTCAACAAAAGTGGTTAGAGCTGTTTTCATCTATGCAAGGGAATGGGTACTTGGTAAAGCTAATAGGTCTTAATTGCCCACTGAGGACCATGGCAGCCCCACACACTTTGCATTGCTATGGGGATAACTTACAACTATATATTGTTTCTGGGAAAACTACCTTTCCTCTAAACTGTGAAGATTGCAGCTAAATTCTGAGGAGTTGGAAAGCCTTTGGGGTGGCATTTAGTATTTATTTCTATTGCATTTATGTCCAGCCTTTGTTCCAATGTTGTTATTGTTGTGTTTGTCCAAGTCATTTTTGACTTATGGTGACCCTAGGGTGACCTCATCACAGGCTTTTTTTGGCAGGTTTCTTCAGAGGGGGTTTGTCATTGCCATCCTCTGAGGCTGAAAGAGTGTGATTTGCCCAAGGTCACCAAGTGAGTTTTTATGCTTGAGCAGGGAATCGAACCCTGATTTCCAGGGTCATAGTCTAATGCTCAGACCACTACACTACACTCCAATTATGGGACTCAAAGTAAAGTAACTGATGATGCTGTCATCTCAGCTACTAAAAGCATCCCAGTGCTTCATACCATACATGCTACTGATAGATTTCTAATTAGATGCATGTTGATTCTTGATCCTACTGGCCTGGCATGAATCATACCTAGCGGCTAAGCTATGGTCTTTTTGCAAAAGTCCCCTCTTCCACCAAAAAGTTATGATGACATTTAATTTAAGAAAGGAAGAGAAAAACTAAACAGAATGTGAGCTTTGTGCACCATTTTCCTCTCTCTCTCACACACACTGGATGGTGCATATTTCCTGTGACCTGACTTCTGTAAAAGGATAGACAGGATTTTAGAAAAGTCACGTTACTCCTGAGAAGGTGTCAGCCTTTAAAAAGGGTTGCTTCCATTAACTGCCTACTGAGGATTGAAGATGGGAAGCAGCATTGCTGGGAAGCAGTGTTCACACCAGCTATAGAGCAGCCTTAATTTCCCACAAGGTTGCTGCTCACATATAAACATTCTAACCACAGGACTATGGCTCAGAAGCTGACGCAAGTTCTAGGGCATGAATAAATGCCTCCTAATCCCCCTTTTCCTACCCCTTTTCTTTCTTTCTTTTTGAATGTCAACATGAATCCGACCAAATAATTCTCCTTATTCAGGACTTTGCTGTTCTGTGAATGTGCACAGAAGTAGAAAATAACACAGAACCTAGCATCCTGAGAACTGAACTTAATTAAAGCTTTACCTGTGCATACCTACATTGCAAGGGTTTGACTAGATGACCCCTGTAGCCCTTCAGACTATGATTTTTTTTGGTCCAAAACACACTGTAGAAATAATCCAGTTTGAGACCACTGGTCTGGCTCAGTGCTCGGGAATTCTGGGAACTGTAGTTTTGTGAAATATTTAGCCTTCTCTGTCAGAGATCTCTGGTGCCACAATAAATACATTCCTGAGCTCTGAGCCAGGACAGTTAAAGCGGTCTTAGACTGGATTATTTCTGCAGTGTGTTTGGGACCTAGGATGCTAAAGAAAGAATCTAGACCTTATGAATGCAAAGATAGTTTATGGTCAAGCAGCCTCTGAGCTGATTATGAGGTGTAGACTCAGGAAAACATGCAAATATGTTTTTTAAGAAGTCATAGAATGAAATTTTCTTATTTTACAACTTGAATTAAATTAGCATATTACTTTTGGGATGATGTTATTGTTGCACTGCTCCTTCTTCTACTTTTTATTTTACTGTTTATCCCTATCTGTAGCTCTTTTCTTTATTCTGTAGTACTCACAACATATATATTAGTAGAAATAAATGCCATAAAACAACCTTAATCTTATAAGGATCTTTTGAAGGAATATAATTTAGGTTGTGTAATGCAATAAAACTCTCAAATTTAAAATATTGATTATGGGAGACAAAGATGTTTTCTGATTTTTATCAAGAATGAGCAAAGGTGTGAGCTCTAACATACATCATACAGAGTTTGGGAAGCTTATTCTTTTGGATTACAACTCCCAGAATTTACTTGCTGTGCAGACTGGATGTTGCTCAGATATCTGGTTCAAAACAGTACCTTTTACAAGGTTTATGATTCATCGAGTCCTGGGTTAAATGATGTCTATGACATGTCCTGGAATCAGAGGGAAATCAGGACAGTCTCCTTGTTTACCTTCCTTATGCTTTGTTCATAATGTCTACATTATGATGTCACAAAGCCAGATCAAAGTGAGGTCTAATGATGCTGCTCTCAGTCTGGACAGACTTCCTGATGAGATTCTCTGGCCAATCAGACTTGTCAGGGACTCCATGTTGTGAAAGAAAACTTGACTAGAGATTGTGTTTCTGGCTGTCATTCTGAAAAGTCCAACATTTTAATCCTGGCTTTTTGTCTTTTTTAAAGCTTAAATTAAATTATTGAAAAGTGAGATGTATCTGGGGTAAGTGGTCTGGAATTTTCATTGACTATACTTCTGTATGAGTACATGCACTAAATTTGTCCATGGTATATGATATATTATGTAGTAGCATAGCTGTCTGGATCCTACGATCCCTTCCATAGACTGAGGATTTTCCACCATGTCAGTACTAATCACTATCATTGAAATGGGTTCAGCACCATGAACAACTCCTTTAAACAATGACTACAACCCTGGGTGCATCTACACTGTAGAAATATTGCAGTTTGACACCACTTAGTGGTGCAGCTCCATTCTATGGACTCCTGGGATTTGTAGTTTTACAAGGTCTTTAGCCTTCTCTGCCAAGGGGTCCTGGTTCTTCACAAAACTACAATTCCCAGGATTCTCTAAGATGGAGCCATGGCAGATAAAATGGTGTTAAACTGTTATTTCTACAGTACAGAAGCACACCTAGAGTAGATTAACTGTCCTACTGATACAGACACCACCGGCTGTCAGTGCTTGTCCCTTGTCTCCAACTCCTGTACAAGCAAGGGCTTCCAGTGGAAGGACCATTGTTGTATCCATAAAGGTGTATGCCCAAAGCTGCCCTTCTATTGGAGAATGGGATAAGGCCATACATACAAAAGCCCCATCATGTTTATTTCCCAGGATGTGAGGCTGGCCCAAAATATTTCGTTGCCTGAGGCAAAGTGGGAAATACATCCTCCCCCATATGTACTATGGTACATAGTACTTGAGAGAGAAAACCCCACAAGTGCTCTTCCCTGGTGGTAGATGTAAAAAATAAAATAAAACATTCAATTCTATTTTCATATGAACCTTTATCTCTCTTTTTTTAACAATCTTTTTTTTTAACAAACAAAGGATTTAATGCATGTGTACCCTTTTTTCTACTGTTCCTTTTATGATTTTCGATGATTTTGTGTTGCTTTAAACTAAAGTATTGCTATTTTAATATGGCAGTTTATTTTAATAGTGTTTAAACATTACATTACTAATTTTAATTGATGTAACTTGTTCTAACTCCTGTGAGCTATCTTGACTCCTATTTGGAAGAAAGTCAGGATATAAAATAAAACAAAATACATTTTACTGTCCTTTCTCAATACCAAGAATCTGCCACCTGAGGTGCCTGCTCCAGTCTGCCTAATGGCCGAGTCATCTGTGATAGGGCAACTTCTTTTTACGTTATCTGAGAAATGCTGGCAGGTGCATTGCTTGGCCTTGCCCTACTGTCTGTGCTGTGCAGCCCCTTATATTAGAACTGTCACTCTCATAGCCTTTTTCAGAGCAATTAATTCACAATTGGATTCCAAGCAAAGGATAGTTGGATTGAGGGTAGAAGCCCTGGGATCATTATGTGACTGCCTTTTGTAACACTAGAGCAATCATTTTAGCAGGTGTGTGGCACAGCCAGAGTGAATGAGAGGGGACAGATTTCTCTCTTGCTTGTGCCTGTTATTCTATTCATCCTTCTTTCTATTTGCTGCCCCTGGGCTGAACCAAATTTCACTTTTGTTCTTTCCTGAATATGACATCTTAATTTACCCTTCTCCCTGCTGCGCTGTACTTTCAAGCATGAGGTGAACACTGTTGAGCTGACTCTACACATTTTGCAGTGGCCAGTTGGGTTATTCAGCAAGGTTCTTGTTAGTCACTGGCAGGAGAAAGTGCTTGAGGCAGGTAGGCTCATTTAGGCATAGCATGAGACCATGAGGCTGGCAGCTGGAGTGAGGAACAGCTCCAGAGAGACAAAAAATAATCATCCACCACTTTCCTATGGTGGCTGAATGGAAGCCAGGAGAAACTACAGGAGGAAGCTTGTCCTTTCCTGAAAACAAATGATGCCCTGTAGATGTTAGATGGGGAAATTAAGAGCACAAGGTTTGGACCAGCGGTTCCTGTCTCCCTCTTTCTAGTTCCCCACAATGGCTAGCCAACTGTCTTTGGGAGTTTTCATGATTGGTTCACAAATATGTCCACCTCCAAGCTTGAAAGTAATGTGGTTCTGTACAAGCAAAGATGGTATCTTGTTGAAGTAACGAGGGTGTAATGATGCTTTTGCAAACTCATGTGATGATTGCTAATGTTACTTTTTATGCATGTGCAAAATAATATTTACTCTTTACTTCTCAAAGGTTGCTTTTGGTAATTATTTGGGCTGATTTAGGGCTATTCTTGTATTTTGTTTTTCAAAAAATAAAAATAATGAAAATGCAACTCCTTGTGGTGTGCTATTTTGAAAATATAACAAATGTCAGTTTGTTATTTGTCACTTTGTTTAAAATAGTAATGCACTTGATGGTGATTACAATGATGATTTTCAAACTCCTTGTATTGTGTTATTTGACAAGAATAACAAATGTCAGTTTGAAAATTGTCACTGTAATCACCATCAAGTGCATTTTTTTTTAAACATAGTATTCTGAGCTCTGGTTTATGATCTTGTTGTTGCATCTCATTGCAGACATTTCAAAAGACCCATCCCCTTCCTCCAAGGCAACAGTTTTCCCTCTATCTCCAGGCCAGGGAACAAAATAATCCAGAGGGAGATTTACTCATCAGCAACAAGCACAAATGAACTAAGATAGAAGTATAGAATTTTATAATTGGAAGGGCCTCTGTAAAACATCTACAGTAACCTCTTGCTCAAAGTAACATAGTTCAGGATGCAACATTCCTTCTACTCTTGCCATCCCAGAATTGTTGGCTTGCCCTTGCCTTCTCTCTCCTGCTGCCCACCTTGACAAAAAAGGATGGAGAGAAAGAGACCAGAACTGGGGGCAACAAACAGTGGTTACTTTGATCTTGAGAAGGACAGCTAAAATTACAAACCATGGCTACCATAAATTATTGTGTAGCTTAATAAGTGAATATGGCCATAATCATATTAAAGATAAAACAGTCAACAGTTTAATGACAGACTGAGAACATTGTAAAACTACCCACCATTGTATTAAACAAATTTCACTTGGTATTCTTTCCTGCTATTACTGCATGCAGAGTCACTGCTGCAATAAATCTGTTTCACACTGCTTGCTATCAGAGACTTAATTTTCATTCTGTTTGAATTAAACAAAAC